GATCTGCGGGGGAGGCGCGGATAGGGCCGGGCGGGCGCATGTGACCCGGAGCCCCCGATGATTCAGGAGCCGCCAGCGGAGGCGCACGTAGGAGCGCGGGGGAGGGGGGGCGTACCGATGGGTTGGGGCGGGGAGGGCAGGAGGAGAGCGATGTGGGAGGGGCCGGGGGCCGCCCACGCGCGCTCATACCCACGCCCCGACCCAGTGGAAAGTAACAGCCTCAGCCTCACGCCAGTGAAGCCCGTGACAGCCTCAGTGTCTCACAAACCCGGTCAGACACGAGAGTATCAAAATGTCCCTTTATTGGAAAAACGAACAACTGTTCCTAACACTCTAGGCCGCCGCCTCCGCAGCTCCTCCGCAGCCAGTGCTTCAAGCATCCCCTGGCCCATCCAGGCCTGGTTCGCACCAGGCCTACCCGAGGGCTGCTCCCGCCCCGCCACTGCTGCCCAGGTGCCCTCACAGAGTCTGGGAGGCTCTGGGAGGCGGGCTGTGATGAATTCCTAGGCCTGGGGCGAGAGAAGGCGTCCTCTGTCTCCGGAAGAGGGGGTGTGGGCCCCCCCAACTGGGAGTCTCCTCAGTCCTGGAGCCAGCATCTTTGGTCTCCTGGAGGAAGAGGACAGAAGCCAATCCTCTGGGCCCCCTGCACTCACACTGCTGCCTCTGCCCCATCTGAAGTGCCAGCTGCCACGCTTCCCTGGTCTCATAGCCTCAGTCTCTTCCTGCCTCCTTCTGCCCTCCTTTCTTCCTTCTGTCCTGTTATTCTTAGCTTTGCTCTTTAGTGCAGGATCTTCCTCTCCTGCCTTCTCTAGGCCCAGCTGCCATCCTCATACACCACGGCCCCCGCCCCCCCCCCCCCCCCGCCCCCGCATCCTCATACACCACGGCCCCCGCCCCCGCCCCCCCCATGCCCCAGACCCAGCATTTCCCATCAGGTGTGGCTGCCCAGCCCACAGCCACATCTCTGCCTGCCACCCCATTCCCATTCATACTGCTTACTCCTCAGGCCTCCTGATGTATCTCCTAAGCCTCTCTCAGCTCCTCCCAGGCTCTTCTGGTTCTTTCTCCTCACCTGTGACTCCTAACCCAGGTCTCCCCAAGGGTTCTCCTTGCCTCTGCCTCCCTCACCCACCTCCTCCTACAGCAACTTCCCTTCCCATCTGCCAGGCCCTTGGCCTCCTCTTCTGGCCTCCCTGCCCCACTTCCTTACTGTCCTTGGAGGCTAGGGGAACTGCTAGATGGATGACTGGTCCAGTTCCAATTCGGGCTCAGGCTCGGCCTCCTCCTTCACCCTCTGCCGGATCTCATCAGCCTCAGCCCTCTCCTCCTCCTCGTAGAAGTCCTTGTCCAGGCGCTCGAGATGCGCCATCTGCACCAGGGCCTCCTGGCGGTAGTCGTTCTCGTCTGCACACGGGTTGTCCAGCAGCACCAAGGCTCGCAGCTTGGGCAGGTTCCGCAGCTTGGCGAGCTCCCCCAGGTCAGCCACCATGTTGCCCCTGCCGGTGGAGTGGGGAGGTGTTCACGAGAGAACGATGGGCTTCGGAGGCCAGCCACCAGGTATGGGCCCTCAGGGGGAGTCTCCCACTGGGCTCCGGTTTCTCTAGAAACGTGGCCTCTGTGGACTGGCCTGCCACGCACTGCCAGGTTTGCTGCAGAGACGCTGTGTAACCCTACTCCTGTCCCGTTCTGCCTTTCAGGGAATCCCTAGGTGCCACTGTCTATTCTGTAATGTGTCATACTTATCTTTTTGGAGCAGCAGAGCTAGGTCTCAGCCCTGTCTTGTAGTTGGGGAGTAGGGGGGAATCTCCTTTGTAGGGACAGATTTCTGTGTCATCACATCTAATCAAAGGTTAGAAGGTAGGAGCCGAGCCAGTGGAGAAGGAAATGGGCTCTAGGGTCATGGAGATGGTGCTGTCTCGGCGCTCCCACAGGAAGGAGCCTGGAGCTGGGGATGGATCGGGGCCTCCCAGCCTGAAGAATAAGCTTCCTCCCCTAAAGTACCTCATTGTAGGATACTGTGTATTGTTTTCATGCTCTTGCCTCACGCCTCAGGGGCTGGACTGTCCTTGCTTGCAGGTCTTTGGCCCCAGGGGCACCTCCCAGTCACTGAGACAACCCCTCTGTCCCACACTTACTTCCAAACATCCCTGGTAAATAGCCACTGAGGAAGGTCCATTATCCCTGTCTAGACCATTAACAGGAAAACAATACCCCCTGCACCCTACCAGACCAAGGGGGCAGAGCTAATTAGCAAGAGATCGCTCCAGCAGTCAAAGCAGGACTTTGGGCTTCAAGGTACAACCACCACTCCCTACTTGGAGACTCTTTTTCCACTGCCAGAATCGAGGATTTGTCTTTGTTGACGAAGGAGGCAATTTCCTTACATCTTTGCTTAAAGAAACACACATAAAATCCTCCGTCCAACAAGAGTTGCTGCAAGAAAATCGCCCCTGATCCTCAGTGCCTTTCCATCTAGAGATTTTCTTTTAAATACTCTTCTCACCTCAGATCTGAGCACGGGGACTTACCTGGTGGCGCAGTGGTTAAGAATCCGTCTGCCAATTCAGGGGACACGGGTTCGAGCCCTGGTCCGGGAAGATCCCACATGCCGCGGAGCAACGAAGCCCGTGCGCCACAACTACTGAGCCTGCGTCCTAGAGCCCGCGAGCCACAACTACTGAGCCCGCGTGCCACAACTACTGAAGCCAGCGTGCCTAGAGCCTGTGCTCCGCAACGAGAAGCCACCGCAATGAGAAACCCGTGCACCGCAACGAAGAGTAGCCCCCGCTCGCCGCAACTAGAGAAAGCCCGTGCGCAGCAACGAAGACCCAACGCAGCCAAAAATAAATAAATCAATAAATAAATTTATGGAAAACAAAAACAAAAACAAACCTGAGCATGTCTTGTGTTTTATAGCAGTATGGAGCCATCCCTTACAGGTGGGGCTCAGGAGAAGAGAGGCAGGAAACTGGAAGGGGAATTGGGGCCCAGGAGATGGAGAAGGGCAGTGGAAACTTATATGGGATGGAGCCAGACTGTGAGTCCCTGAGAACAGGGACCATCTCTGACTCCTTCAGATGGTTCCCGAAACACAGCACAAGGCCTGGCACATAGTACGTTCTCAATATGTGGGTTGAATGAATAGGATTCAGGGGTCTCAGGCTACAAAGGTCTCAGTGCTGTAATTAGGACGGATGCAGAAGAAAGTAAGGACAGGAGGGGGGAGGATCAGGACAGAGGATGAGGTGAGAATCTGGGGGTGGTCTAGAACTGGGGGATTGGGACCAGGGAGAAACATAGGGTCAAAGGTGGCTCCTGGTCAAGGGCAGAGGCACGGTGAGCCTGGAGGGGGTTCATACCTTAGGTTGAGGTACTGCAGTGATTTCATTTCCTTGGAGAAGCCACTCAGAGTTTCAATCTGGTTGTCGCGAAGATGCAAGGTAGTGAGATTGCTTAGGTTTTCCAAGCCTTCCACCTTCTTCAATAGGTTCTGGGCCTAGACCCCAGGATACAGTAGATAGATTGGGAGAGGGGAGCAGGGAGAGGGAAGGAAATCAGAAAGAGATGCAGCAAAAGAGCAAATCTAAGAGGTAGAGAGGGTACAGGAGGGGAGTGGAGGTGGGTAGAGACCCGTGTAGAGAGTAAAGAATCCAGAAGAAGCTGCCAACCCAGAGAAAGCTCATAAGTAACTCCTACTGCCCATCCCAGCGCAGCCACCTCTGATTAAGGAGGAAATTCTTCAACCCACCGCCCGGGCCAAGAGCCTCACTGCTCCACTGAGGAGAAATGGCTTCAGCTCCATCCTGGAATGAGGCAACTCAAGAGGCTAAAAGCCTAGACACGTAAGTGGCCTCCTTAGCCTGATCTGAACCTCAGTTATGCACAAGGTGCTGCTACCTGGATCAAAGCAAACTGTCTCTATATTATCCACACATTGTGCATTATCAGCCCTGCTAGGTGGTGAGCACCTTGTCTGTTTTGACTCTGAATCCACACAGCATCTGGCACTAAGCAAGCACTCAGGAAATGATACCAATTATGATGATGATGAAGTTAGTAGGTGAGTCTACTAGAACCAGGCATCCTGGCCCCCAGGACAGTGCCCCCTTCCCAGCACCAACCACCCTCTGACCCAGTGAGCTACCAGGAAGAGGTTCTTCAGCTTAGGAAGGTTGATTCCCAGGGTACTGTTCAGCTGGTTCCCCCGAAGCTCCAGTGTGTGCAGGCTGATCAGCTTTTGGGGGTCCAGACCTGTCACCATGTGGATGTGGTTCCCTGAGAAGGAGGGTGTCAAGGGTTCAAAGGGCCACTTCAAATGTTCAGCAGTAGAGCCTGAATTTGGGGAGCCTCTGCAACATCTTCTCTAATGCCAGGAGATACGAGGAGGGACAGCTCCAGACTTAAGAGCTGCGGAGCCCTGGACAGTGGTCTGGCAGTCCAAGGGCCCGCTGGATGTGCCCACCTAAGTCTTTGAGGAGCGAGTGAGGGGTGCCCAGCAATCTATATGGCCAACTCCCTCTCCTCCTTCAAGTCTTTGCTCAAATGTCAACTTCCCAATGACACTTGTCCTAAGCAACCTGTTTGAAATCGCCACCCCTGCTCCCCCCTTTTCCTTTACCCTGATTTTTTCCATAGCACTTATCTCCTTTTAACATGCTTTATAAATTTACTTTTTTTTTTTTAATTTTTATTTATTTATTTGTGGCCGTGTTGGGCCTTTTGTTACTGTGCACGGGCTTTCTCTAGTTGCAGTGCGCGGGCTTCTCACTGCAGTGGCTTCTCTTGTTGTGGATCACAGGCTCTAGGTGCGCGGGCATCAGTAGTTGCGGCACACGGGCTCAGTAGTTGTGGCTCACGGGCTTAGTTGCTCCTCAGCATGTGGGATCTTCCTGGACTAGGGCTCGAACCTGTGTCCCCTGCATTGGCAGGCGGATTCTTAACCACTGCGCCACCAGGGAAGTCCCTAAATTTACTTATTTATTGTGATCATTGGGACTTCCCTGGTGGCGCAGTGGTTAAGAATCCATGCTTCCGCTGCAGGGGATACGGGTTTGATCCCTGCTTGGGGAACTAAGATCCCGCATGCCACGCAGTGCAGCCAAAAATTAAAAATAAAATACTGATCACTGATAATTGCCTGCCTCCCTTGACTACAAAGTAAGCTACAGGAGAATAGGGATTTTCTTTGTTTTGTTCACTGCTACATCTCCAGCACACAGAACTGTCATCGTGAACCATCATGAGTGTCCGAATGAGTGAATGAATGAATGCAGATTGCTGTGTGGCACAGCCAAGGACCACACTGCCCACTTCTGTCGGCCCCAGGCGAGGAAGGAATCTTGTGAGGCCCATCCTAAGGCCCCACCTTTGAGATCCAGGCTGGCCAGACGAGGATGAGAGATGCCCTCAGTGTCGCTGATCTGGTTATAGGCAAAGCTGGCGATCTGCAGGTAGGGCAGGTCATTCAACCGGGCACTCCGCAGCCGGTTGCCATCAGCCTTGAGCCAGAGCAGGTGGGTGAGGCAATTGAGTGCGGACAAGTCTGTCAGGTGGTTTTCGGAAACATCCACATAGCGCAGATGGATGTAGGAACGCAGCAAGTAGATGTCTGTCAGATCCCTAGGAGACGGTAGCGGCCGGGGTCAGGGTTAAGAATCCAGCAAGGACTGTCAGAGGTACTGAAGCAGAGGGTAATGTGAAGACGGCTTAGAGTGGAGAGGAGAGTGGCTGACAGAGGGAGGGCTGGGGAGGGGGAAGAGAAGGTAGGTGGGTTCTCAACGGTGCGCAGGGACCTTGTGTCTGTGAAGGGCCGGGAAGCGACACTCTGAAAGACAAGTGAGGGAGTCCAACAGGAATCCCCACCCCCATCCCATACCCTCACAGCCTCCAATTGCCCAGGCCAGCTCTGACACAGGGAGTCACAGCGTCCTGAAAAGTAGACTCTATCCTTCCCTCCTCGCTGGTCCAGGATGCCAGAGATCCAACCTCAGCCGAAACACCCAGGATGGAGGCTGAGAAAGGACACTGGGTCCCACATCCTCCGACCTCTTCTGGTCCCCCATGAACACACCTGTCTTTAACCTCCAGCTTGACGTAAGCATGGGCCAGTCCATTACCCGTCTTGCAGAGCGCAGAAAGCCCTTCCTTCATCATGTCCTCTGTGAGGGGCATGGACATCCACTGCAGGAGGAAGCGGACTCAGGCATCCCTTTCACCCCAGCCCTTAATCCCGGCCCCCTCTGTTTCCAAGCTCTCACTTCCTCGGAGTCTTCTCCCTCTTTCCTGTGGTCCTCCCACTCCTCTGTCTCCTTCTCATCGTCTTCCCTTTCCAGACCATCCAGGTCTGACTCAAAGTCTTCCAGATCATCTTCATCTGGCATTTTTCTTCCCCACTGAAGGCTCTGGAGTCAAATCCAGCTAGGTCTCGGCCCTGAGAAAGAAGGTCTCCTCAGCATCTGCCAATGCTCCCTCCCTCACCTCCATGAATGGGTACCCCTCTCATCATCCTATCACCCCAGACCTCCTGCCAGCGATGCTTCTTTCCTCATCCCTGTGAACATCTCATTTTGACTCCCAACCTCCACTTCATACTTCCCACCAAGGACCCTTCTCACTTGGATGCCTTTCCAGACCCCCAAAACATTTCCTGCCCTTCTCAGGGGCTCCAACTCCTCCAGCAGCTCGGTGTCCAGCTTCCTGGACTTCCCTCTCTTTAGTTCTTCCCACTTCTGCCTTAAGCCACGTTGTCCTCCAAACCTCCCTACCGCCCCCTCCCATCCCCTTCCATCTCTATAACCCCTGCTCTACTCCTTTCTTCTAACTCTCCCACGCCGCATAGACCCATTTCCCTGTCCCCTCTGGGACACCAGCCTGACACGCAGCCTCCAACCCTCTCACTCAATCAATCCTTCTTTGCAAAGGGGCGCAGACCCTGGTTCTGCTCAACTAGAAGCTGTACTGGAGAGGTCTTGGCCCCGAGAGGGAAGGACTGTTTGGTAGAGGGCAAGGGAGAAGGAGTTGTGTACTGCCGTTATGGCAACGGGGCGGGGGGGGGGGGGGGGGGGCGGCACTGGGAAGGTACGGGCGGCCGCGCGCTTACCCACCTAGGTTGGGAGACAGCAAGCCGTGCGCTCCGGTCGCTCTTCTGCGTAGCGCCCAGCAATCCGCCCGGTTCGGCCCGGCTCTGCCACAGGCGTAAATCTGCCCGGCGTCACCTCCAGCTGCCGCCTCTGTTTCGCTAGCACCGTCCCGCTCGGGAGCTCCAGGAAGAGAAAAGAGCAATCCGAAGAGGCGGCTTCTTGGCTTCGGGGGAGGCGGGGGGGGGGGGGGGGGGGGGGGGACGGGCACTCGCCTTCCGCAGCTGGCAGCCGTTGAGAGAAGAGCTGCGAATAACCGAACTGAAAATCCGCCGCGAAGCAAGTGGACCGGTAGTTGCCTGGTTACGAGCCCAATTTCCCAGTCCTAGGAACCCGGATGAGGGGTGGTAATTGGCCCGCTAAAAAAGCCAGTGGGCGTGGCTTAGTAGCGCTGAGGGGGCGGGACAGGGGCGGGGCTATCCATTGCATCATGTGAGACCTTAAAGGAGCCGGACAACCTCAATGCAGAAGTACTGTGAATTCAAAAGAAACTCATTCCCTGAAGCAAAAGGTGGGGAAGAAGGGCAAGAAATACCGAGTGGTGGGTGGCGCAGTGGTTAAGAATCCACCTGACAATGCAGGGGGCACGGGTTTGAGCCCTGGTCCAGGGAAATCCTACGTGCCGCGGAGCAACTAACTGAGCCTGTCCTCTAGAGCCTGCGAGCCACAACTGCTGAAACCTAAGTACCACAACTACTGAAGCCTGCGCGCCTAGGGTCTGTGCTCCCAACAAGAGAAGCCACCACAATGAGAAGCCCGCGCACCCAACAAGAGTAGCCCCCTCTCACCACAACTAGAGAAAGCCCATGTGCAGCAACGAAGACCCAATGCAGCCAAAATAAGTAAATAAATAAACTTATAAAATAAAAAAAAGAAGGGGCTTCCCTGGTGGCGCAGTGGTTGAGAATCTGCCTGCTAATGCAGGGGACACGGGTTCGAGCCCTGGTCTGGAAAGATCCCACATGCCGCGGAGCAACTAGGCCCGTGAGCCACAACTACTGAGCCTGCACATCTGGAGCTCCGCAACAAGAGAGGCCGCGTTAGTGAGAGGCCCGCACACCGTGATGAAGAGTGGCCCCCACTTGCCACAACTAGAGAAAGCCCTGGCACAGAAACGAAGACCCAACACAGCAAAAGTAAATAAAATAAATTAAGACCTCATGATGGGACAAGGAGAGTCTCAGGGAATGTAAAGAAAAAAAAGAAAGAAAGAAAAGAAATACCAAGTGGTATTTGGTCTGGTACCCCCACCAATAATTATTGGTCCCACCCAATAATTATTTTCAGGTAGACCTCTGGCAGGTGGCTTCCTGGAGTGGAAGGAGCCCAGGCCCGATGTATCTTAAGACCTGGATTGTTGGGAATCCCCTGGCCGTCCAGTGGTTAGGACTCAGCACTTTCACTGCCGTGGGCTGGGTTCGATCCCTGGTCAGGGAACTAAGATCCCACAAGCTGCGCAGCGACACCAAAAAAAAAAAAAAAAAGCCTGTTTTGGAGTCTTGACAGATCTGTAATTCGCTAACAAGTTACCTAAGACCCCACTTTCTCATCCATAAAATAAGTTTAACTATACCAGCTGACAGGGATGGAGTAAGAGTGTGATGTATGCTGAAGCAATGTATCGATTGCTAAACCCAGCTTGGGACCATTTCCATCCTCATCTTTTGATGCAGACCTTCTGTGGGACAAAAAGGGAGAAAATCCAGCAGGAGCCCACTAAAATAATCCTCATCTGGCACTGTCATATAAATAATCAACAAGAATTGGTACAGCCACACCCAGGCACTCAAGCCTGTGTGACTTGTTGAAGGAGATGGAAAAGAGAGGTTGAGATGCAACAAATATTTCTGGAGGGACATTGTGCCAGATATTTCTGCCAGTCATTGTGTGAGATGCCTTTGCATGCGCTATTGAATCTCCACATCAGTCCTGTGGGATAGATATTTGGGAGAAGAGGAAATTAAGGCTTAGCGAAGCTAATATTCCTGCATGGGGGAAGGGGAATATTACCAATCCTGTAGAATCTAATGTAAATAAAACAATTAGGTCACAAGGTAACATGTCATGTGATTAATTGTTAACGTGTGCGTTACAGGCTATACAACAGGAAAAGTGGTCTGATGACAGATGTGTTGAGTTGAAAATCGGGAAATACTACCTCGTGCCTTGTCTGGCTTGGCTAATATAGTTCACAGACAAATCTGTTCACTTGGTATCATGGAACTAGCTGGGGTTTTAAAGTCAGAGAGAGCAGGTTCCAAACACACTCCACCACTTAATAGCTGCGTGTTCCTCAGCAGGTTATATCATTTTATTGAGGTTTCATTCTCACATTTTTGAAATGGGGATAAACATGTCCACCTCAAAAGACTGCTGGACACTTAAAAGAATGTGTTACCGCCTTCACTTAGTTAACCCTCGTAAACATCTCCCACCCACCCCTTGCCTGTTTCCTCGGTCCTGGGGTTGTTGTGAGGAATAAAAAAGAGTAAATAGGGGACTTCCCTGGTGGCGCAGTGGTTAAGAATACGCCTGCCAATGCAGGGACACGGGTTCGAGCCCTGGTTCAGGAAGATCCCACATGCCATGGAGCAACTAAGCCCGTGCACCACAACTACTGAGCCTGCGAGCTACAACTACTGAAGCTCGCGCGCCTAGAGCCCGTGCTCTGCAACAAGAGAAGCCACCGCAATGAGAAGCCCGCGTACCGCAACAAAGAGTAGCCCCTGCTCGCTGCAACTAGAGAAAGCCTGTGCGCAGCAACGAAGACCCAATGCAGCCAAAAATAAATAAATTAATTAATTAATGGGGGGGGGAAGAGTAGATAGGAAAGCTCTCTGAAGGGCTAGAAGTGCTTTGCAAAGGAGTTATCACATTGCTGGTGTGTGGAGAAGGGGAACATCCAGGTGGTTTGATGTAGTCGGAGAGAAAGGATGTGATTTTCTTCCTTGGCACAGAGGAAAGGGAGGTATCATTTAGCATGCTTTTGTTAAGCACTTACTCTCGGCCAGGCTGGACTGGCTGGGCACTCAAGGACAGTAAAACACAGGCCCTGTCTTCAGGGGGCTTACGGTCCAGGGATAGGGTTAGTGGACAAGTAATTCAATATAATGAGAAATATGTTATAATAATGAAACCAAGCACTTACAGGGCTTTTACGAAGTGCCAGGGGATAATTTTATAATACACATGTGCACATAATATCACATATTCAGGGCAGAGACTCTAGACAGAGGAGGCGCCGGTGTTAAGTCCTGGAGGAGAAAGAGCTCAGTGTCAGTGGAAGGAAGGCAGGGGTTCTGCTGGCTGGAGCGGAGGTGCACTCAGGGGCATGAGGGAGGAGCAACAGACGGTTGGATTTTATCCCAAAAGCTGTAAGGAGCCGCTGGAGGTTTTATTTTGTTTTGTTGACAAGGACTGAATCGATGCCGTGTAATGAGAGCTAGAAACTCCACGTCCTTCTCAGTGACATCCTTCCCCCTGTGCCTGGTCTAGAGAACATCTCCTTCGATTACAAAAGTACTATTTAATTAAAATAAAAATGCAAATAGTAGAGATGTGTATATAGAGGAACATAAAAGTCCATGATCTCCCTCAGCACCACTCTCATTAATATATAGATTTTTAAAAGACAAAAATGGTATCAATCATACACACATCTGGATTATTTTCATTTAACAATATGTCTTAGACATCTTTCATATTACTAAACATTTATCTACCTCTTTGTTTATAGTTTTCTAAGTCTTCCATTATATAGCTATATGGTAACTTTTTAACTGTTTTCTGTTGAGGTGTATTAACTTTAAAGAAAATTATCAACATTATAAACAATCCTGATCAACATTATAAACAATCCTGCAATAGAAATCCTCATAGATACATCTTTGCTCTTCGGTGTGAGTACTCTGTAATAGCACTTCTCAAATTTTACTGTGCATAGGAATTGCCTGAGGAGCTCATTAAAATGTAGATTCCCACCCCTTAAAGTGATACCATTGCCGCTGGTCCATGGACCGCATTTTGTGTAACATGGCTCCGTGGAATACATTCTTAGGAGGTGCAGTTTCTGGTTCAAAGTGTATGTACTTATCTTTACCAGTCTTAATAGATTGAAAAATAGATATGTCGATATTATTTTTTTCAGGGAGGTTAGTTTATTATGGCATTTTTAAAGTTATAATTAACATGCAATATTATGTTAGTTTCAGGTATACAACATAGTGATTTGATGTTTTTATACATTATGAAATGATCACCCCAATGAGATGAGTTACCATC